GATACAGGTTCGATTACTTTCGGAGGATGCATATTTTCTATGACAATTTCTCGGTCATTCAGGCCGGTAAATGTCGTTAATATTGTTTATTGTAAACAGAGCATTTACTTAAATATTTGTATCTAAAAAGAACGTATAAACATAAAAATATCTTAATATATATATATATATATATATATATATATATATATATTTATATATATGTATGTGTATATATATATATATATATATATAAATCCATTAATTCTGTCGAAATTGCTTTGTTTACGTTTCGAATATGAAACTGAGCAGATATGGTTTTCAAGTAAAACTGAATGAGTTAAGGTACATTAAGGCATATAAAACCTTGCTTTTGTGCGTTATGCCCCTAGTAGCCGAGCGGTCAAAACACGTCAGGTCAAACGAAGGTTTCTTCTTCGAATAGGGGCGCAGGGTTTTTTTTTATCTAGAGTGCTAACAGATAGACAAAAATGTTAACTAAAAAGCCGAGCGTCTACTCAAATACGGCTATTCACTTAATATAACGTTTGATGCTATATATATATATATATATATATATATATATATATATATATATTACAGGGTGCGATAGGTAAACTGTCAGCCTTTTTTATTTTTAATTTCGCGCATGCGCGTTGTTTGTTTTTGATTTTGTCGACTACACAGTATAGTAGGGTCAGTTGGGCACCATCTATGAGAAAAAGAGCACCATGACGCAATACACTTGGCCAGAAATTTGGAAAAGTCATGCTGTCCTGCTTGGCATTGACTCTGGAAGTTCCAATACGGATGTTTCAGAGTGTTTTGGTATCAATCTGACGACAGTTCAGACGATTCGGAAAGAGTTGGATGAGTCTAATGGTGATTACGAAGGTGTTTGGAGTGATCACTAGTGATGGCGACGTTATGTCTCAATTCATCTTCCCAACATGGAGGCCTGCATCAACTGCCTTAAGAAGGTAATGCTAGTGTGTTTCAACAGGTGGCAACAAGACTCTTCACCATGCCACAAAAACAAGATAAACCAGTCATGGCTGTCATATTATTTCTGAGACCACGTCACCCATTACATTTGGCCACGTTACTTCCAGATGAGCGATTGCGTTTAATATGAAAACCGACTGTCATATATATATATATATATATATATATATATATATATATATATATATATATATATATATATATAGATATATATATATATAGATAGATAGATAGATAGAGAGATAGATAGATAGAGAGAGAGAGGGGAGAGAGAAGCAACTCTAAGCAGATCAATGTTGAGTCTTGGAAGCGGCTGAGAATTGAACGCGTTACCACCCACATTCTCTGAACAAAGACGAGAAACCGATGTTTATTTACGGATGATTTGAAAGCCAGTATCTGAAGTTCTTCTATTCTGTTTGATCTACGCCCCCCCAATAACCTAACAATCTTAAAAGACTTATCTCTGAAGGATGGGGACCTGATAAATATCGATTAGTTTTCATATCAGATTTTCTTTCGATATTGACTTTCTTTTATGCAAAAATGCTCGGTCAGACTGGTTAATTCGTTACTCTCTTGCATCGTGGCAAGTCTTCGGAATCGCCACAGTGATTCCGATGTGTTGCCTTATCAAATCATATTTCGACTCCGATTATATGACAGTAGGAGTGACGGTGCCTGACACAACAAAAAATGACAATGGCGGAAGGATTTCAGATTACGCTTGTATGTAAAATATGTTCTTGTGTATAGTTTATGATATTGTATGTGTTCTTTGTCCTTCGTCCTTTTCTATGTACTCTTTGTTCTTTGGTATGATATTATATGTGCTATTATATATATCTTCATTCTTTGTTATGATATTGTATATACTCTTTGTTCTTTGGTACATTATATGTGCTCTTTGTTCTTTATTATGATATTGTATGTGTTCCTTGTTTTTTCTTATGACATTTTATGTGCACTTTGTTCTTTAGTATGATCTTGTATGTCTTCTTTTTTCGTTATGATATTGTATATGTTCCGTGTACTTTGTTATGATATTATATGTGAAATTTGTTCTTTGTTACGATATTATATGTGCTTTGTACTTTGTTATGATATTGCATGTGCTCTTTGTACTTTGTTATGATATTATATGCGCTCTTCATTTTTTCTTATGATATTGTATGTGTTCATTGTTATGATATTGTATTTTCTCTTAGTTCTTTGTTATAATATTGCATACAGTCTTTGTTCTTTGTTATGATATTGCATGTGCTCTCTGTACTTTGTTATGATATTGCATGTACTCTTTGTTCTTTGTTATGATACTGTATCTGCACTTTGTTCTTAGTTATGATATCATATGTGCTATTTATTCATAGTTGTGCACTCTATGTACCTGTCTGAACTCGTTTCGTTCTGTGCTGTTTCTTTTCATCTGAACTGAACTCTTTATCGACTTGGACGCTCGATATCTTCTTCTTTACACGTTGTGCTATTTATATTCTTGTATGCGTTCTCTTAGAACTTATGGATGCTGTCTATGGTTTCAGGAGTGCAAACTTTCTTATATTCTTTTCCTTTTTCATGTCCTCTGCTCTTTATTTAAAATCCCTTTAGCGCTTACCATTTTTGATACTAGCTTTTTGAGGATATGCATTTTATTTTATATTCATTTGCATTTTTCTCTAGCTAATATTACCACCTCCCGACCCTCAAGATGTTCCACAGTTTATATTCAAATATCTACCGGATGTTACGGTTTTTTTGTGTATATAATGTATATGACTAGTGAGTTAGTCAAAATGACTTAATTCCCTTTATAGTCTACCAATAGAAGATTAACCAATCAGAAGCCGCAGAACACTGCATCCGTCGTGTATAAAGGCGGCCATCTTTGTTTACCCTACCGGAATGACCAGAGCCAACATGTCAGGCGAACATGACAGACGGAAGAACTACGCTCTGCTACTTTGCTGCGATATCCACTGCGAACCTGCACTACGCTTTCCTACTGTCTCCGAAATATTCACTGCCAACCTCTGGATTCTATACTCGAAGACGACCGTCATGAATTTGTAACACCGGAAACCAAGAAAGTAGTTCAAAATAGAGAAAAAGTATAATTAAAAGATTGTTTAAAAATAAACAACCATTGGTCTTTAACCAGACTTGTATGAATAGTAAAGATATTTGCACATTTAGACATGTTTTGTTGGAAAATAAACCGACAATCTTATCTAATTTGACTACGAATATCATTTAATCTTATCGGCATTATTTAGCCAGTTTTAGGATTGGCTTGAGAGCCAATTGTAAACAATTTCTCGGTCAAATTGGCTACAATTTGTAATTTCTATATTGCCAAGTATTTCATTTCATCCTTACGTTTTTTTTAAAACTATAACTACACAACTCGTAAAGTCAACAGCCGGTGTTTAATTTTCCCCAGTAGATTATTATGTCCGGTTGTCGAGCACAAAGATTAATGTTCAAATCTATATTTCATCGACGGTAACTATGGGCGTAAGATTTGGTTTGAAGCGGCACTAAAACTAACATGGTCACACGGGCAATTGGTAAGTACTTTCTACACATGCGCGTATACGAAAGAACGGAAATTGAAATGTGCTTTCATCGAGTAATGTGCGCAAACGCAGAAATACAAATATATGGTCCAATATCCGATGCATTCAAATGCTTCCAATAACTAGTTGATTCAAAGAGATTTTAAAGGCAAACAGATGATTAGAAGTCCCTAGCAACTGGCAGATAAAGGCCTTAGCTAATGGGAGAATAAGTTCTAACGTAGATAAGAGTCTTTTTTTGGTTTTTTAAGGTTTAATTCTTGGAAAATTGGTGCTGATCATACAGTCAATGGATTTCGATTATCAACCAGACATTTCCATTGAAAGTGATCAGACGAAACATATTCCTTAGTTCCACCATTTCTAAACTTCGCCGCACATTGTAGCGACCCACTCTCATTTCGTTCGTATTCCGTCGGTGAGATGTAACTTCCACTCAAGCAGGTTCTTCCTAAGAAGGGCTGCTCTGTGGAACAGACTCCCAAGAAGATGCTTCCTCGATCATTTCAATCTTAACATTTTCAGGTATAGGGTCAACCTTTATCTTGCCCACATATCTCCATAACCTGTGAATTTTACTCTGTAACCCTCTACCACGAGTTGCTCTTGGTCCTTATACAGGGTGAAGATTATATATATATATATATATAAATATATATAAAATATATATATATATATATATATATATATATATATATATATATATATATATATATATATATGACTCATATATATATATATATATATATATATATATATATATAAAAATCATTAATAGAATCAATCAACAGTAGAACATAATGTATGTATTAAAATAAGTGTTTCGCCATATAGATTAACAGTATACATTATGTTCTACTGTTAATCGCATTAATATTGATGATTGATTTATCTAAAAATATATATATATAAAATATATTATATATATATATATAAATATATATATATATATATATATATATATATATATATATATATGATATAATATATATATATATATATATATATATATATATATATATATATATATATATATATATATATATATATATATATATATATATATACATATAAAAAAAAAAGGAAAATACCACCTGACTATATTTGTAATGTATTTAAACCTTCCGTTTTCAAATTCCATGGAAATTCATGAATGACCTCATTTCTCGAAATTTATTTAACTTTTTATCTGTATGTTCAGATGACTTCTTATCTCCGAGAACAAGGCCAGCGATATGTACACATCGAAGAAATCTATCTGCCAAGAAATCTCGCTTAATTCGATCGTATTTGCGATCAAGTCTGGAAAGTTTTTCATCCTGACCATAAAAATTAATTAAAAAAACAACAAAATATCTTTTGTTTGGTCATCAGTTCAGATTTCAAGAATGTTTTCGGTCGGGAACTTTCCATCCGCTCACACATATTGATATACTTCAGACACATCATATTTGCCTATCTATCTATCTATCTATCTATCTATCTATCTATCTATCTCATTTTCTTCATATCTATCTATCTATCTATCTATCTATCTATCTATCTATCTATCTATCTGTCTAAGTTTCTTCATATCTATCTATCTATCTATCTATCTATCTATCTATCTATCTATCTCATTTCTTCATATCTGTCTATTCTATCTCCAGTTTCTTCATTCTATCTATCTATCTATCTATCTATCTATCTATCTATCTATCTATCTATCATCTATCTATCTCAGTTTCTTCATATTCTATCTATCTATCTATCTATCTATCTATTATCTATCTCAGTTTCTTCATATCTATCTATCTATCTATCTATCTATCTATCTATCTATCTATCTATCTATCTATCTGTCCCTATTATCTCTGTCTATATATATTTATATTCAGGCAGATATTTTTATATATGTTGAGCAAACGCATTCACATTCATATCTATGTTGTGTGTGAGTCATCTATCTATTCTTTAAGTTATCTGTCCCACATTATACATGTATTTATACCATCATTTATACACTCCCTTGTGTGCGATACTGTAATATGTCTCTCTCTATATATATGTATGTGTCTGTTTGGGTGAGTGTTTGAGAGAGAGAGAGAGAGAGAGAGAGAAAGAAAGAGAGAGAGAGTGCGTGTGTTGGTGTGTGTGTAAATATATAATGCACATGTAATGAGGCACACAAATGTGGCTTATATAAAAGCATGCTCATAAAAAAATTGCATATGTTCATAACTTTTTAGATTAATGTCTGTCAAGTTGCACAACAAAAAAGTTAATTACCCAATTCATATCGTTGCCAGTCGAAGTCCTTGTAGCATTTTTAAATTATAGATATTTTTTTAATTTCTAAGAATGGTGAAAATCCTTCTATTTCAGCCAAGTGTAACTTTAACTGAGAAGAGATAATACATAGTCTCTGTTATAATATAATGTATTTTTTTTTTTACTCATTCCTTTTAGTCGGGGAAATTCAGTCGAGACTATGGTCATTTGTGAAAGGACGATGGTTCACCAATGCAGATTAAAAAATAGCTTTCAAACTCTCCATTTTATTATTTGTATTGTCATACTGTAGAAAAAAAAAACAAAACTAAAGACAAAAAGGAATTTAGATTTTATCAAAGATGCGTTTTGCCGGTGATAGCTTATAAGCTCGTTGGCATCATCAGTTTGACTAATGCATGTGCGAGGAACATATTTTTGGATCTCTCAGGATAAGTTGGTATCGTAAATTACATTAAGTACCCTAGCTTATCACATCCTGACTTGAGATTTGAAGAGAGTCTGTACGCCTCTCTGTTTGTTTGTTTTCTCTATATATGTATTAGAGCCATTTGGCATTGTAGGATTTTAATTAAGAGACATTTTGTTCTTTTTGTATAAACACACATTCACTCTCTTTCTCTATCTCTCTCTCTCTCTCCCACACACTCTCACACACGCGCACACACACATATATGATAAAATATAGATTTAAGGTATGCTATATTTATCGGTTAAAGTGCTCAGTATCAGCGATAGAGCGTCTGTAAATCTAAGAGTGGACATTGAAGACAATGCCCAGAGACGTGTGTCTGTATCATGCTAAAGGTAATGACCAGGCTAGAGAGCCTGTCAATTCCGTTTAGAATCACACAGTCTGTCGTCTCTAAGTGTTGACTTCAATGTCCACTTATATATATATATATATATATATATATATATATATATATATATATATATATATATGCAGAAATATAGTTTTTAAGTGTGCTATATTTATGGGATAAAATGCTCAATATCAGAGATATGCAAAATAAAAAAATGAAAATAAAAAAGTAAAATAAATTAACCCAAATAAATAAATAAACAAGCATCTCTTGCCAAAATAACCGACAGAATGGATTACCCACAATGCACCACTAAACGATATATATAAATAGTCGAGAAAAATCCAACATTATTAGCACAAATTATATTACTGTTATTTTTATAAATGGAAGTGAGGTTTAATTACCAGCACATTTATTGGAAAAGAATAATTTTAGTTCCTTTCATCATACATTTATTAAAAATTGTTTTAGTTGTTTTTCAGAGAGCAACATCTGCATGTACTTTAAATTCATAATAGCTACAAAGAAATCTACAGTGAACAATCGTACATATGGTAATAGACAATAAAATATAAACATGGTACTTGTTGGTAAATGAAGTCACATACTATACATGCATAAAAGCAAATTCCCATACCTGTATATCAACAAAAAACGCACAAAGTAAGCAGCGATATACCAGTCAAAACAAATATTTCTGTAAAATCTGGTATTTGTACAAAGCAAGCAGCAAAAAAAGAATGTTCCATAGAATTTTTCAGGTATATTTTTATTGATATCATGTTTGTTCATTTAAAGGAGCTAAACTCTGTGCGTCCACAGATTCCTGGAGAACCCTATTTTTTTTTTCGTGATCTTCATGTCCCTTTCATACATAATACTGTTGTATTGAACGCAGGGTAAATTTTAGTGCATATTTTTAAATCCGCGTACAATAGGCCGACAAATACAATATGTAAAAGTTATTAACGATCTGCTTAAGACTATTTCAAGAATCGTTTGTGTTATGGGAACTTACCCATAATAATGGGCTATTCCTGACATTTTAAATACTGCGCCTCTCAAGAGGTATGAACAGATTGTAAGACGAGGAGAGATAATTGAGAGCATATTGTAAGGACAATGGAATAGTGATACTTGTCGAGACAACATAGTTCACTCTAACCAAATCTGATAGTCATTACTAATACGTCTACTTCTTTGTATTATATTTCTGTTGTAATATATCTTTGTATTCCATACCTGTGTTCGTGTTATTCTTTCATTGGTTCTAACCTTGGACCATCACGCGGTAAAAGGAACTTGGACCATCACGTGGTACAAGGAACTTGGACCATCACGTGGTACAAGGAACTTGGGCCATAACAGTTTGCGAATCTAAATGCTGATGATAGCAAGGTTTATAGGAGCATCTCCAAAAATGAAAATCTCATTTAATTAGGCGACGTACTCTTTGCGCTCGGTATTGGATAAAACTTTTATTAAAGCCGTTTGTGTACCTATATATATATATATATATATATATATATATATATTGATCTTTCCTCAGACCGAGCTCGAACAGTTCAATATCCACAAAGCCAAGCCCGAAACGCTTCACCGTCAGCAAGCAGACCCTGTATTTTCTGCGGCTATGAAGAACAACTGCACTCTCACTGAAGCTGCTTAGTTTGTGTATCTTCTGAATGTTCACCGCACTCCAGGTGGACGTCATGAACCGTCGCTAAAAATGTCTTAAAGTCGCCTCATTCTATCGTTCTTGAATGAACCAAACACCTTCAGCCATGCTTTATATTTAAAAGAGTCAGATGAGACCCGAAAAATATATTGCCTCTGCTATATCACGGCTAAAGGTGCCTGGTCTCCCCTTTCCAGGCTTGATAGTGCATAATAGTTTATTCGTCTTTGGGTGGGGGTAATATATTTCCCACCCTAAACCCATATCTCGATGTTGGAATTTTTGGGTACTAGTGAGCCAGCCAAAATGAGCTGACTCATTTTATAGTTCACCAATAGAAGGGTTAACCAATCAGAAGGCTCAAAATATTCAATGCGATGTGTATAAAGACGGCCATGTTTTTCCCCGAATACTCACGGCCTGCCTTTGATATCGAAGACTGAAGAATTACGGAACAGCTGCTGCTGGTGGTATTGGCGATATAGTCAGATTCAGTAGAGTGTCTGACTCGAGAGTATTAATCTTTAACGTTGTTTCATTGAACAGATTACGCACTGCACTGTATTCTATATTCATAGACTATGGTGAACATGGTCAACACTCGACAGACACGGCGCTGCATGCCTATCGCTGTTTCTATGAAAAATGGTCCGACTGGCTCCATTCATTAGTACAACCAGTTCAGCCCTCTTCGGCCAAGAACCGTCTTGCTACGTCCACTGACTTGAATCGCCATCATTTCCCCCGTATTACAATGGTAAAAAGAATGTTCTACTCAGACTGCATCTTCTCAACATCTACTACATTGTTGGACAGACTACCGGTGGACGCTTCTCCGAACACTACAATGTTAATCACTTCACGTCTACGGTCAATCGTTATCTATCTTCCACATCCTCATAAACTTAATTTCCTAATTTTCGCCTTACGCTCATATCACACACAACATTCTGTAAAAGAGAAAGATTATTGCGCTTTGCATTTGGTGAACGTTAATGGCGCTAAGAAATTTAGCATAATTCATCATAAAATTTCAGCACGTGGAATAAGTACACTATTTACATTGTTCGGACTATCATCCTCATCTTTGTTGCCATATTTATCCCAACGTTTCGGCCGTTGTACGCTCCGGCCTTCTTCAGGTGGTTGGAATGTCGAACTGAACCCTTTATTTCGCTCGCTGGGGTAGACTGTTCTAGTTCTACGTGCCATGTCTGATGGATGTCAGTTATCAGTTATCTTCTGTTAATTCTCCTCTCCAAGTTCTCCCCCGCCTTAACCAGGTGTTGAACTCACTCGTTGGGTCCTGTCACTGGATCTAACTAATGCCTTTATCCACTGTGCCATGTGTCCTTGAGGACCATGGCCAAAACATTGTGATAAATATGGCAACAAAGATGAGGATGATAGTCCGAAGAATATAAATAGTGTACATAATACATCATCTCAGAAATATAGACAGACACTGTGGAATAAGTAAATACTAAACATTTAAAATGCATATGCTTATGGATCAGTAATATCAAGGAAATTGAATATAGAACAGGCTACACCAAAGGTAGTTTCCCCCAACACCGCACGTTGCTACCAAACCAAAACTTTAACCTGAAAACGCGAGTGAAGTTCTTAAATAGCCTCGTCCGATATCTACACCATCATCTGGATGTCATGCATAGCGCCACACCCACTCAGTTATATCAAAACCGTCGGTTGTATACAAACATTTTCGAAGATCATTGGTTAAAATAGCTTTGAGTGATTGAATCCTGTGGGTCTTGAACTGTTATATTCCGTGCTAATAGGAATATATACTTGAAAAACAAGGTGGTGAAATAAGTAAAGGTTTACTGTAAAAAAAAAACAGTACAATAAGAATAAAAGTAACAGTTATGCACAAGGATGTCGCAAGTCAATCCAGTAGTAAGTATTACTATTGGAAGGTCGTTAGTTCTCGCGTAAGCCCGAGTCGTACACAACTGATCCCAGCTAGTATATCTACTAACTGCCCCACGTGATCAGATGTGGCACAAAGCCGAATTTAATGTGGGGTATCCGTTGGGTCGGCCAAAATTTCCCCGTAAACTCCGCATAAACGGTTTCGGATCTGTCTACCTCTCCGGACGAGACTCTGCCCTTCGGCAAAGCCTCGTCCGGGTTCCTCTTTGTCTGATGGCAGAGA